TAAGTCGGGCCTTGCCATCTTTCCATGAAGGGTAATTTGAAAATACGCTTACAGTCCCTTTAATAATTTTATGATAATTGTTCTGAAATCTTTAGAAATATTTCGTTTACATTACATTAGAAAGTGAGAGTTCAATAATTAGTATGAAAAGTAAATATATGTTATACTAGTCTTGGGCTTGGAATTCAGTTAATTTATACATAAAGGAAAAAGTGGAAATTAGTTTGAAATTTAAAATCAACATATTTACTTTGATCATCCGGAGAGAGAAACTTAAAAGGATACTTACAAACAAAACCGAGTTTGAGAACCAACTTTTTTGAGGTTCCATAATCATTTTTGCAGATTAAAAAATGGCGGGGCATTTCAATAATTTTTTTGATCCAAAGCTCTCACGGTAAAATAGATAAGAATTTTGCCAATTATTACTTAAAGACTCAAGAATTAAAAACAATTGTTAATATTTCAATAATGTTATACTTTTAGGGCTACAAAAGCATTAGTGAGTTATTGCGGAAAAATTGTCCAAAGCGTTGCGGCACTGCACAGTCGACCCAATCTTGAAAACTCGACATAGGCAAATAGTGTTTTTTTTTTAACTTGAAACATTTTCCCCATAATAAAACTTAGTTTTTAAATTATTTATAAATTCGAAAAACTTTTGGAAAATTCTGGCAGTGTATTAGCTTCATAAACATATGGGTTATAAGCCTTAAAAAAGGATAACAGATAATGTAATTTTTAGGGGGGGGGGGGGGCATTTACACCCACCCATTCTAATGCGCCCCTGAACATATGTTCGGTATCTTCAAACATCTTAATTGTCCACTATTCACAAACCGCTAGGGTCAGGTGTCACAGGGAACATATGTGCAGGATTGAGATCTTAGAATAGGAATATTATAAGAATGGACCCCTCAGATATCAGAGACGTATTCAGGAGGAGGGGTATGGGGACTCAGCCCCCCCCCCCACGGGTCAGTAAAAGCTATGGTTTTCAGGAGGTTTTTGAAAGAAGAAATTACTGAATACGCCCCTGGTGGATATAGATCTTAGAATACCCAGCATCTATAATGATAATCATGTAATTCTTGAAATTATGTGCCCCTGCCAAAAACCTGTAAACCTGAAGAAATCTAATAAATCTTAAAACCATAATTTTGCTATTTGCGGTTTTCCTAGATCTTTAAACTATGCAATAATGGTTTCAATCTAAATTCTGAACTCTGGTTTTGTTTCTGCTTTTCTGAACTGTGCTTGTTACAGCACAGCTGGGGCATCCTGTGCGCCTGGCGGTCAACACGGAGCGCGCTCAGTGCGCAGATGAATGAGACAATGGATAGGGTCGAGGGGAGAGGATAAAGGAAACAATGTCAACTTTAGAATTCTCAGATTAACTCCTTTTCAGGGTCTTTATACCCGGGGGGGGGAGGAGGGGGGCTCCACAGGGGTTATTCTTGATCTCCATAAAGTTTTTGTGTAAGTAGATATTTTTTAAGGTTTTAAGGCCGACTTAATTTTACAGTTAGCAGAACTTAATTGCCATAAGTGTAAGGAGGAATATTTATCCCTGGAATAAAATATTAACTCTGAATCAGTATTCCCATAGAAGTTATATATAGAATCTAGGTGGATAGATAGATAGATAAATCAGAAATTAATTGATTCAACCCAACCATGCAACCCTCTTCTTTCTTGTGTGGTCTTTATACATACACTAGGAGCAGAATGAAGATGGTGGGTGGGACGTGGTACCCAGGGGGCGTGTCTGATAAGGAAGAGGAGGGAGGGGGATGTTGTTTAATATCGACATGGCTGTTTTATGAATAGAGAGATAGGAATAAAACGTGGGAATAGATCTCTATCTTGATACATTCAGAGGGGGAAGAGAAGGAAGGTGAAGGAAGGAGAAGGACGGAGAAGGAAGGAGAAGGAAGGAGAAGGAAGGAGAAGGAAGGAGAAGGAAGGAGAAGGAAGGAGAAGGAAGGAGAAGGAAGGAGAAGGAAGAAGAAGGAAGGAGAAGGAAGGAGAAGGAAGGAGAGGGAAGAAGAAGGAAGGAAAAGGAAGGAGAAGGAAGGAGAAGGAAGGAGAAGAATGGAGAAGGAAGGAGAAGGAAGCAGAAGGAAGCAGAAGGAAAGAGAAGGAAGGAGAAGGAAGAAGAAGGAAGGAGAAGGTAGAAGAAGGAAGGAGAAGGAAGGAGAAGGAAGAAGATCAAAAAGGAGCTAATATTTAGAAAACGGAAGGAGAAGGAAGAAGATCAAAAAGGAGCTAATATTTAGAAAACAGAAAGACCTAGAAGGAAAAGTAATGAATTTACAGAATGTATTAATTAAGAAATATCCACATGTTAAATTTGTAATAAAAATGCTTAATTGCTTGAAAAACTAGCATATTTAAAAAAAAGCTTGCCCAGAAACTAACACAAAATTCATTTTTTATAATGTTTACAATCATGAAATAAAAAAAAGCTGTTTGTACATTTTTATATTTATGCATTAACAACAACAAATTTTTTTTTTAAATATTGAGTCAGTTTTTTGAAGGGACTGTATTGTAATTTCATGTGACCTTCCGTTTAAAAAAAAAAACAAGGACTTGGCCGATTCACCCCTTAATTTTTATACTCCTTTTTATCTTCTTTTTATGTTTCTTTTCGTCTCCTTTCGTCGCCTTCCTTCTCCTGTCGTCTCCTTCCTTCTCCTTCCTTCTCCTTCCGGCTACTTCCTTCTCCTTCCTTATTTTTATTTTTATAAACATTAATCTAATCAATAATGTTAATGCAGCAGAAATGCGAGATCCACTTTTGTAGATGTAGATGAAATCCACAATTGAAAAGAATTCATTTTCAAAGAGATAAAAATCAACATCTTATTCATTATTGATCAGTCAAAACTCAAAACCGTGTAGGGGCTGTGAATCTGATATTGCAGTCTTGGATACCCACATAAAATCACGATTACAGTCCCATTATATTATATAAATATTAAACAGGTATAATACATCAACAAATACTTAACTGAAATTCATTTTTTTTTTGCTTTTAAAATGTACTTTAATTTCCTAAGTACTTTTAAATTGATATTCATCATTTTTCTACTGCTTTTTCTTGCAGTAAACATGTGTATGAAAATATGTATTATACTATTATCGTAATTTATAGATATTCCGGCATATCTTTAACATGGTAAACCTCTTTTTACGAACTATTGTAATAAAATGTACTTTTGTACATTTTTCATGTTTCATTTCAGTGTCTCAAAAACTTGTATCTGAGTAATGAGGGCGGAGAATTCTTTTTTTTTTCATTTTTGGAGTTATGCTAATTTCTTTTCTGCATAAATTTACGTGATGCGAAGTTTTCAGGTAGAAAATAAAGGATATCTCCATCGTAAAAGCTTGCTATCGTTACAAAGGTTGCCGCGTTGATAATCGTTGAGGTTCTAAAAATTTCCAAATCACGTGGTGCCAACCCATTTCAACAAAGCTGTGTCTATTTTTCAAGCCAAAAAAAAAACACATTTCATCATTTTAATAAAATGTATTTTTTTACTGATGGAAAACCAAGAAAATACACATACACACATTTTTTTAAGAATACTTAATTCGTCTCTTTATATTTTCCAAAAATGTTGAGTTTGTTGATGTTAATTTTAGCAATTAAAATTGACATACATAAAAGTTTGTAGCTAAGCAGATAGCTGTCGATGTTGGATCTGCAATGTGCAAATATTTAGCACAAATCTATAAACTTCATTGATTGGCATTCTTCAAATTTGCAAATTTCATCCTTATCATCATCTTTATTTGTTTACATTGAGGTCATTGACTTAGTCTTTTTAATTAAAGACACGCTGAGCCAAGATCAAACTGATCAATAAAATTATTTAGCAATTTGAACACACACTCCACTAGACAGAAGGAAAAGTCCAAATGCAATATTACTGGTACAACTTTGTGACCTCGTAGCTACTAAATTTTAATTTTACGCACTTTGTAGTTAGAGTAAAGAAAGTCCATAAATTCAGGACACTTCTGTTCTTCTAAATATGTAATCGAAAAAAGTAATTAATAATTATAATAAAAAACATACAAGATAAAATGATATTTACTTTAATTTACGTGATAGAGGTTATTGACTTTTTTTTAAAGACATTTTAAACCGTTAGCAATATGGCATTTTTACTTAGTAAAATAATAATTTAGTCTGTACAATTACTTGAAAGTTTAAAATATTTTTTATCGAAAATTGCGAAATTGAGATCGAAAATACATCAATTTTCGCGAAGTGTTTCGACATTTTCGTGAAATTCGACTGAAAACCAAATCAATGGTATTGCAAAGGGAATGGAATTTTGACACAAACTTAGAATTTGTAATCCCTATATCTTTGTTACCCAATATCGTAGACCTAATTATTATTTCAAACTTTAAAATCTGTCAGATCAAATAATCTAGGATGGATGAAATACTAATGGTTTACATTATCAGGTTGTGAAGATATAAGAATTAAAAAATTTGAGTTTGTGGCAAAAATTAAAACGCAAGATGTCCTAAATGTAGTAATGTAGAACAATGTCTCTAGTAAAATGTATGTTATTTTGTGTTCAACGTTGTCTTGTCTGTTTCTCTTTTTTTGATTTACAATCTTTATAAATTATAAAAATGTTGAGGAATTTTTCACATTTTTATCGATTAAATTTCTTGAATTATTTAACGTCCATATATGTTAATTTGATACAAGTCGGTTTCAGACCTCATGGAATGTTTCATTTTCTTGTTCTCCATACCGCACATACTGACGAGCCGGGTCGGTTTAACCGGGATGGGTTGGTTTACCCGAGACGGGTCGGTGATACAGGAGTGGGGAGGTGTNGGGGGGTACCGTGAAGGGTTGACTCCGCTCAAATCATACATAGCGGAGAGAAAACACCTATACCATTCAGTCTTGGTTCGACACTCACAGAGCGAAGTTATACAGAAACAGCTCCGAACCTTTCACAATGTTTATTCACATATTACTGTTTGTCTCCTGTCTTACCGGAGTGCAGAGCATAACAACCCACTTTGTGTATTGGAACTCGACCAACCCTATGTTTAAGACGGGTTCTCATGAGAATATCCTTGAAGTGAACCGTGGAAACTATCCCTCGGAGCACGACCAGCTTCACCTCATCTGTCCTAACTCCAGGGAGCAGCATGTTATCTACAGTGTATCGGAGGAGGAGTTCTACAACTGCAGGGTCTCAAACCCTAGACCTAAGATTGTTGCTGTTTGTAACCAACCAGAGAAATTTAGATATTTTACTCTAACTTTCCGGTCATTCAGTCCTAATCCAACAGCATTGGAGTTTAAACCCGGTCAGACCTACTACCTTATCTCCACCTCCACCCCCATGGACCTCCACAGGAGGGCGGGAGGATACTGCTCCACCCACAACATGAAGATGAGTATCAACGTGGCTGAGAACGGGTTGAAGGAAGAGAAGAGCTCCGGGTCCTCCGGGTTTGAGCGGAGCACTTCGTCTCCGATCTACCGTGCTGTAACTACACCCAGATACTCCACGACCTCCAACTCCATACCTGTCTACTATTACAGGTCTAAGACTCCCGGAATCCACTCCAGCGACTATATATACTACTACTCCCCTAGGGATTTGGTTCAGCTTAAGCTCAAGGCGAAAAAGCACGAGAATAGTATCAATGTGGAGAATGAAACTTACACTGCGGCTAGACTAACATCTAGTGCTAGAACATGGAGCTTAAATATTCTCCTTGTCCTTATTCCAGCTTTAGCAGTGCTATTGTGAACCTGGAGTTAAACACTCTCAGAACTTGAACCTTTAATTCTCCTGGTCCTACAAACCTTAGCTGTGTTTAAAATGAACCCTGAGAGAACCAGTCCTTGCATTCACACTGATAAAAAACCGTACCAACAGCTAGACGTGATTACAAACCACTGCAGTACACTTTACACTGTACTGCACATGCCTGTACATAAACCTGTATATAGTTTTAAAACCCTAGTCAAAATATGAATTTAATAAATTTTCAAGATTACTAACATTTTCTGTTTTCCGTCATATGAGAGATGCGAGAGTGAAATATGATCCTTCCGTCCAATAATCTATCCATCTATTTATCTTCACATCCGTGTGTTTCTCATCCATTTATCAGATCCATCTGAACCTGTCTTTAGAAGATAGAATAAGAAGATAGAAGGATCAGGTTTCAATGATATTCTCCATGTACCACGATATACTTAGAGTTCCCACGACCCTCATCTGATTAAATATTTGCAAGGATTCATCAGATTAAAAAGTAATTTTCTAATAAACTAAAAATTGCTAATCCTTACATTTTTGAAACTTAATTTAAACTATAATTTCTGGAAGATCAAAAAGTCAAAAATTTTAAGATTTACGTCATCATGTATCAGAGATATAGGGATTATAGAACTAGAGCAAGTGATCAGTTCCTTTTTTGTTAAATTTGTCATTTGGTTTATAGGAAAGGAATTTAAGAAATGTACCGGAAGAAATGAAGAGCGGAAGTAGACATAAATTCCTTAGATTAGTTTCATAAGGTTATCCTAAAAGTAGTAAACTGGAAGAATAAGTATTTTTAATACTTTTGAAAGATTTGAAAATCATTATTCAATTACTCCAAATTCTTCAGTCCGAAAACTGTGTGGACAAACTTTAAAACTTTATCACCGTCACATCCGAAAAGTGTTGATAAATATCATCTATTAACTTTCTTTGGATATTAAAAATGTAAATTTTGAGTAAAAGAGAAATTGTATACCATGTAATGGAGTAAGTCCATCCTCTATATTTGTGGTTAGAATGAAAGTGTTAGTTTTAACATGTTCTTGTCTCACCATATATCAAATTAAAAACATCTTTCCTTTCGGAACAGAAAAGGGTTCTGAAACTTTTATACTTTATACTTTATGCTTAAATTTTTAGAATTATTAGAAATAATTAAGAATGAATAACGCTTACAAGTATTTATAACCATTTTATGATAAGAAAATTATCAAGAATGATTAAAATTTAAACAAGCTAAAACCACGAGATATTTACTATTTTATTTTAATTAATATATATAAAATTTTTACACAGGATTTAATATTTCCTTTAATCCCAATTGCCTTCCTCCTCTTTCCCCCCGATAAAATCATTACTACCAAACAGAAACCGTAAAAAGTGATGGAGATATTCTTCAATTTCGATCAAAAAACGGATAATTTATAAGTTTTACATCCTCAATGATATAAGTAAAAAGGATGAATCGGCCATATTTCTCTTAAAATAGAGCACACGGAGTTATCCAGTTTGGTACTTCTCCCAGTAAGCTGTGATGCTTTAAATCACAATTTGACTAAATAAAAATTTGTCGCCTTTTCTCTTTTTTTTAACTTTTTTATCGGCATATGCGTTACAAGTAATAAATTATTATTCTCTATTCTCTGGTATTGGAAGAAAACCCCGTAATTTTAAAACTTGTTAAACAATAGATCAACACGTGAATTCAAATAGAAGAAACCGAACACATCCCTCCCTGGTTAGCTCAGGGGGAGATAGTATTTTAAAATACCGCGTACATACAGTCCCTTATAAATAATGGTGGATTAGAGAACATGTATATTTAGATGTATAGTTAGCAGCTGGGCTGCTAGGCTGGTCAATCTTGTTCCTACTTCAATACTCATATTACAGACACACCGCTCCTCAAAGAACAAAAAATGCAAAAAATTCCCGAAATTTGATTTCACATAAAGAGAAAACATGTTATTGAACCAAATTCCGAGATTTAATAATTTGAAATTATTTTTGGTGAAATATTTGCTAAAACCAAGAAGATTTAAGATTTTCGGTGAGAACCCTCCCTATACTTTTAGGATTGCTTTAGTGCATTCTTGAACACTGTAGGCATAGTTTCAAGCGAACCATCTTTAAGAGATTGGAATATTCGATGCACTATGATACCTTTTAAACATTTGATTTGCCTGATCAAGGATGAATGAGCCATCCTAAGTTTTTTCTATAAAAATTCATTATTTTCGATTGTAATTTATCTCTAACAGTGACTTGCGGATTTATGCCACTGACAAAATGAAGGAAATCATTAGAATCAATACGATTTAAGATATGAAATATGATTTAAAATATGATTTAAGATATGTGAATCAGAAATGCACCCCTTTATGAATGGAGAGTCTCTTGTAATTACGTCTGCAGTCTCTTTAATAATTGCAAATTTAAGGAAAAAAGTCTTTTTATCCCATCTCTTGCAAATTATATATTACAAGGATTAAGAAAATTTAGACAAATAGTAAATATTTATATTTTTAGCAAATCACATTTATTCAAAAAAAATCTAGTTTCATTTAATACCAAAAAGTTTCTGTTTAAATATACTTTCTTGCAAGGATTCAGTAATTATCTGAGAGTATTTGTTTTATCAATACACATCGGAATAAAAAAAAAATATTTTAAACTATTTTTTTTTAACTTTTTATATTTGATATCTTGTGTCTATGCAAATGCAAAATGTATGTAGTATATTTATAGATAGTAGATTTTAAATATTAAAATCCTAAAATACCATAAATTAAAGTTATATGAATGCTGAATATTGCATTCAAAGAAGCCATTAATTAGGTTTCCCCCTTTCAAACCTTCATTTTGTTCTTTTAAAGTTGTAGAAAAAAGTAACTTTAATTAATTTAATTTTTTTTTCGACGAACATTTTTAGTCAACCGCGTCAAATTAAGTTAGATTCCAGATTACATTAAAATACTTCATCTTTTTAAATTCCGTCATAACTCTTATTATCGAAGAGTTATTATGGTTGCTTATCATTTTTAAAAACGATTGTAAACGATACTTTTCGTTTCGTTTTTAGTTTTTCTTCTTCGTTTTTAAACCGAGAGGATAGTTTTTTAAAAGAGTGAAAACGATCCTCACCGAAGAGCTTTTGAGAAGAAAACATGTTTTGAGTTTTTAGTCAAACTAAATAAATTTGCTCCTCTCAAACTTGTTCTTATAGTTAAAAGAAGCTATGAACGAGGTCACAAAGTCGCACCTGAAATGTGGATTAAATTAGATTTTTCTCGAACACTCCCTTTAATAGACAAAAAAGATGCAAGGGCCAAGCGGCCTAATGCCATGCATGCCTATGATATTTCTATACTTTTATCGAACCATGAATAAAATTAATTTTACCACAAAATCAGAAGAAAGCGGTGCTTTTGCGGAGGGGGGCCGGGGGGGGGAGTCACTGAATTATAATTATTTTGTAATTTTCCTGATTGACATAAAGTTTGACACAAAATGTCCTTACAGAAGCGATTATTTTTTAATTCCATATTTATAAATAAGTTAAAAATTAAAAGATGTCTTAAGCGGCGTGTAAACGGTAGTTTTGAAGGGTTTAACTTTGTGTAGATAATCCGTTGTTCTTATTTACCAACCCAGGGTTCACGGCTAATTTAATTTAAATTAATCTAGGGATTAACTTAGCTCTCGTTAGTGAGCAGTGGTGGTCAGGGGACAGAGTGTTAAATATTAGAGGGGGGTGGCAGGGATTAACATTTTTTATGGTTATTAATGTTCATATTTTAGGTTAGAATTTTCGTAAAGTTTAAATTCATTCGACACAAATAACAAACACAAACGAAACTTTTTACAATTTTGAAGATGATCATTAGATCGTTGGATTTAAGAGGTGCAACTAGGGAGGGGGTTTAATCCGGGGGAATCAGCTGGTTAAACAGTATACTATATTTATGCAGTACAGTGTCGGAATCTAAAGACAGTCTTTAAGTAAGTTACAATTGTCTCTGAAAATGGACATGAGAATGATTTTGGAAATGTGGGATCAAGAAATAGTCTGATGGTTACAGAATGATGAGTTATTAAATGATAGAGTGAGATAGAGAGAGAAAAAGAGAAATAAATAGACAGAGAGATAGAGAGTATGCACCGATCTTACTGCAAATCCTTACTACCAGTTTATCAAAATATTAATACTCTAAATTTTTTTTAATAATTTTTTTACGAACAGAAACCACAGATTAAATACACATAAAACAGATAAAGTTAAAGCAAAATATGGTTTATTTGTTATAGGGATAAGGGAGCTTTTTTGAGAGAGAATGGGATGGGGGAGATATGTTTTAAAGAAAGGGGGGGGGAGTTTGATTGATATTTATAAACTGTAGAGTAAAGATCCCGCCAAGTTTTAACTATTCAAACCT